CGTGCGTGTGTCGCGTCGTCGTGTGTGTGTGTGTGTGTGTGTGTGTGTGTGTGTGTGTGTGTGTGTGTGAGAGAGAGAGAGAGAGTGGGTGTGTGTGGTGTGGGCCGGTGTAGATGCGTGCGTGCATGTGGATGTGCGTCCGCCATGTTGACGCCTGTTATTTGGGCCAAAACGCGTAATAGTTTATGACAGTACTGGCGAAAATTGCACCGCACACAAAGACCTTTTGTACATTGTGAAGGCTGCTATCCGCTCGCGTGAGGCATTGTGTCTAGGCGAGTTCGGGGGGAGCCTAAGTGCACTATAGATGCGCCGATAAGACATGAGCTGATCTTTAAAACTGTTATGTTAAGAAAGATATGTGTCGATTACCGTCCCAACGCGCGTATCAAGCTGCATGCAGCGCCCCCTTCGTACAACTCAAGATAGTAAATGAGCCAGAGCGAGAGTGCCATCTGACGTGGAGTTTGCGCGCGCATATGGACTGGTGCTACCATCTAGCGGGAAAATATACATCTTGTGAATGACGCGTTTTTCTGTGAATGAAGACGCGCCCGCCGCGTTTCGCCTGCGTCCTGTCCGGCCTGCCTGCCAGCCGCCGTCACACACTCATCGCGCATTTCTCCGTCACGCTCTACAGGCTGTGTTCGACTGCGTCATCAACTCGCTGAAGAACGTGCTCAACATATTCATCGTGTACGTGCTCTTTCACTTCATCTTCTCCGTCATCGCTGTGCAGCTCTTTAACGGAAAGTTCTGGTTCTGCACAGACGCGTCCAAGCTGCTTAAGGAGGAGTGCCAGTAAGTGCCATCATTGCTTTAGAGCGCGTCATGAATTAACAGGGATGTGGCAGAGAGCCCGAGATAGATGCGGTAGATGGCGCCATAAATAACATCTGTACGGTAGATGGCGCCAGTATTTTAACATTAATGTGTTAGAGGGCGTTATCACCGATGTGGTAGAAAGCGCCGTTAGGTATCTCATTAGCTGCGAGCATGGTAGCGATAATTTAGATAAATACATCACATTATCGCATGACATGCGTCTAAACAGAGGAATTGCTCCGACCTGTGATTGGAGGATAAAAATAGACCCCGCCCACTTTTCCATTTTTGAAGGATAAAAATAGAATTCGTGACGTTTCGTTTCACCGGTCATAGCCGCGCGTGCATATTTGCTAATTAATTAGACTAATCGCGCTTCTATAGACTCAAAATTCACAGAGATTAAGGCTAAGTCATCATGTCTATAATAGCTAGAATTTATAGAAATGTAACTCAAATCGTTCGCTCTATATGATAGTTAGTACACGTTCCTACCGGTCATAGCATAGCGTATGCGGCGGGAGTGGGCTGGCTCTATTTTTATCCTCCAATTACAGGACTTTATAAATTTATTGTACAGTGCCAGTGCAAAAAAAGGTTTGCAATGGGTCGCCAATAGTAAGAATCGGTAACTTCATATTCTATTTATTTATTTCCTGAACATACACATTCCTGTTGAGAAGATGTTTTGCCTCGGCGGTTAGGAACCGATTTCCCCCGCAAATTCGTATGTAAAGCAGCTATTAGATTTGTTTGATCAAAGGTGGCACATTTTGCTGGGAAATTTAGAACAACAGCATTAGACAGACCGAATTGAATCTGGATCGAACAACGTCAACACTACATGATGGCGGTTTCTATTCCGTCTTAACTGCATTTCTACACACGCACCTTTCATCGTATTGAGTTCAAATCCTTAATGCGTCGCCGCGTGCCTTTCAGAGGGGAATATTTCGAGTTCACCGACGAAAAGCAGCCGCCGAGAGTCGAGAAGCGCGAGTGGAAGCGGCAGGATTTCCACTATGACGACGTGTTCCACTCCATGCTCACGCTGTTCGTGGTGCAGACCGGCGAAGGATGGCCAAAGTAGGCGGCCCGCCACCGCGCGCCCTCTCCTCACTCGTTGCCACAGCAGTGCTGTAACAGAACAACAAACACGACATCATTAGAAATCAGCGTTCAAACCATGCGAGCGTACATATCCGAGTATACGATGTAGACTAATGTTGAGATTGGGTTGTCGCTGGACATCGAATGGTTCTAATATTAGTCTGCATTGGACAGAGTCGCCGCTATGGTTTTGCGAACGTAATTGTCTCAAACAATTACCAATTAATACCATGTATCAAACAATTACGCTTCGTGTGCCTTCTCTGACGTACCATGGCCTCACGAACATTGTTGTCGTGGCCGTAAATATATATTTGATGAAGCTGTGTAATCAGGAATTGTTCCGCGACGATTGGGAATGGTTGTATCGCGTTTATTGAAGCCAAACTTCAATAAACGCAAACTGTGACTTTATAATTAATAATTATATAATTATATAATATTATAATTAATAAAATTAACGGTGACTTTGATGTGTCAATGATTTGCGCACGCAGAGTACTGCAGAACTCGATGGACGCGACGAGGACGGACGAAGGCCCGCAGCCAAACTACCGCATGGAGATGGCCTTCTTCTACATCGTCTTCTTCATCGTGTTTCCTTTCTTCTTTGTGAACATCTTCGTTGCCTTGATCATCATCACCTTCCAGGAGGAGGGAGAAAAGGAGTTATTGGACGGGGAGCTGGATAAGAATCAGGTTTGCTGCTCGAGGCCACGCGGTTGTGCTGTCTCCGGGATTCGTGACCCGGTTACGTAATCCTCGGCAACAATGTACGCTTGTTCAAACTTGACATTTCTATCTAAATTGGTTGTTTGATAGTTTTCAGAAAAGACGTGTTGTCGTCTTCCCCCGGCGTTTAAGTCACTATGCGTAATCGGTTTACGTATTTGCGGCGAGTGCATGCATTATCTTCAAGGAAAACCAGTAAAACATGTTAAGCTTATGCGAAATATTGACGCAGCATAACGATATCCATGGACCATCTAACTTTACTTCTCAATCGTATTTGAAGGCTTCGTATAAACGGATTTTATATATTTGGTATTGTCGCGGTATATGATTTACGGTTATTGAAAATATAGAGCTTTTAAAGTAAATATGATGTAAAATTAACTGTGATTAAAATAGCTAATTAGAATAATTAATCTGGCGTTGGCCCGCGTGCGCGCTTCGCCTCAATGACGCGTCCATCCGTTACAGAAACAGTGCATTGACTTCGCTATCAACGCGCGCCCTCTAGCGCGCTATATGCCAGAGGACCAGGACTCACTGCGATACCGCATCTGGAAACTAGTCGTGTCGCGCGGCTTCGAGTGGTTCATCATGGTGATGATCTCGCTCAACACCATAGTGCTGATGATGAAGGTAGGCAGGTGGCGCGCGCGTCGCTCTGCTCGCCATGCGGGGGTTGCCAGGGGCCGAGTGTGTTCCTGGCGGCTTGGGATTAGTCCGTGCTGATACCGGCCCGACAGCCCGCCTGTTTATCTGGTCACTGTCGCTACGATAACGGATAAAGTTAATTACGTCGAGTGTATGCGAATATTGTAGTTTGGCGAGGAAATAAAACGAGTGTAAGCCTGCTCTGTGGATGTGCAGGGTGTGTCCATCACCGATAGTTCGGTGTACGAACGACATTACATTTGCGTTTTCTTGCATTTATTTACGAGATATCATTCTGGCGTTATTTTCATTACAATATTATGTCGAGATAGAGTTGTTTACATTTGAGTTCATTTCACAACGATATTCACGTTTGGCAATCTTATTCGTACGTAAAAAGGGTAGCTTAGTTTCTAAGTCCTGCGGTATTTCATTGCATGGTCTATATAATATGCTTACAATGTTTTTTAGCTTCGAAATTATTTGTATGTTTTTCTAGATTTTAACGCTGTGCGAACGGTGCTGTAGGATTGGCAGGGTGCTCAATTAATACCCAAAAATGCAATTAAACCACAATTAATACTCAAACTGGCTGACATCTTATGCGAAATCTAAGATGGGCTATTCATTCGATTATCAGGCGTTCGGCATTCTATTACTATCGGCACATCATGACTCGATGTAGATGAAAGAAAATCAAACCACTATAAGTGCACAGCAATGAGATATTTCTGGCTTAGATTCGGTATTGTAATGTCAATTGTCATCTGTTATAGTTAAGTATGTTAAATGTTTACGTATGTAAATAGTTTCCGGAGGTTCTAATGAGGATTCTATTTCGGTAGTTATATCATCTTACTATCGTGAGCAAAAGCAATATTCAATGGCGAAACACATACTGAAAGACGCACATGTCCACAAGTGTTACATGTCGAAACGGGGAAAACCGTTTTGGAGAAAAATGGGTCATTGAATTTCCATCCTCACTTAAATATCCGCAATTAGATTCGTTATTGTCATATGACTGACGTGTCAGGCCAGAATCCAATTATAACAGAGTATCTGTCCCTATCACCCGATCGGCGTGTAGCAGAGTTGCTGTCACTGTCACCCCGAACTGCGCGTCGCCCAGTCACTGCGACTGTCACTCATATTTCCGTATCGCACCTCCGTTCGAGGTGGATAACATGCCAGTGATGCCGCAGATCTACTGCACATGTGCGTTGTCCGTTTCATATAGAACGCGCGTCCATCGCACCTAGGATACGCAGATAATCGCGTACACCGTGGACGCATGATATTTTCGCACTATGGTCTTTCAGAATGTGTTCATCATGAGAGTGTTGCTCGTGCTCCGCAACATAGCTAATCTAACACAAACTGTCATGAATGCTCTACGTGGATGCGAATTCCGCGGAAACGTGCAAATAGTGCTTCTCGATGAGTCTTGTCGGCTACCGACGTGTACGCGAACACGCTCACGAGCTTGGTAGGTTGGTACCTGTCAACGTGATCTAGTGCACAATATGATTCGATAATTCCCAATGCGATATGATTCCACCGGTATGGCTAATTTTCGTGATAGTAGTACACCTTCAATTGATGTATGTTAGTCACTACAGAGAATCTGGTGACAAACGAGGTCACGACACGATATCGGGAAGCTCTATTCGGGCGTGTTTGTGATGGCGTGGCTTACTTTGAACTGTCACAGCGCTCCTATTGGACACCCGAATCTGTGGAGATACGGGCAGGGAAGCGCTTACCAAAAACAATGACTTACTCACCACCGCCGCAATTTAATTTCAATGATTTCCATTGAAAACCTCTAGACGATTATTTTCTTTTTTAACAAATTTTTGAGATTATTCACAGCGTGCATTTTGTGACCGCTCGATCGAAGTTAACTTACACAGAAAAGCGTTTTACATAGTCAACGAAATTATTTTGGAGAATCTTGTTTCGGTCAATCACTATTCAAAATTATTTCAAAATATAACTAAAGACACCAAAGGTATTGCATGTTGACAAACATGAGAATGCATTAATTGTTCACGCCCGGGTACAATATTGGTATTTCTCATGGACTTGGCAACATGCCAAGTGTTGCCGCTGCATAGTAATTGTCTCAGGGTTGATATGCATGGATGTTGCGTTGAGAGAAAGCTTACTTGGAAGACGATTAGAACGAAACTCGTAATACCCTTAAAGGCCCATAAATTACAATTAATTTGTTCCGATAATACTACGAATGAGGGTTATTCAATAGTGTTTTATTGTTAGTTGATTAAAATTATTATACCTGTAATGGTTTGAATTAGTAATGGTTGGGTTGTACATGAAGTTTAATCCGTCTAACCGTTTTCCGAGGGCAAACAATATAAAAACGCCTATTGGGGAAAGAATTAAACCCTCCGGTTTTCGCATTCAGTGTGTAATTGGCAAGTAGCATCGTAGGAATACTTGTTATATTTGACCCATTATTGTTTTACAATGCAACGCCACGTAAACCTCAAGCAATCCATGCAACCACCCGTGTGACAATGTATTTAAACCGGCGCCTTGTTTTCTTTCTTTCTTTTCATTTTCCTTGCCAAACAGCAGTCAGACAAGGAGAGCAATGGCACATACAAGGATGTGCTGCGATTTTTGAATATAACCTTCACCTCACTGTTTACGGTGGAGTGTATACTGAAGATGATAGCGTTTGGAGTGAGGGTAAGAGTACCTGCCTGCGAGAGAGAGGACGAAACGCCGCGGATCGCTGCGCTGTGCTGTAGTGAGGATGATTGTACCTCGCTTCGCTAATGGCGACGTCTGGCAGAGGTTTAAGCACCCTCGTGACTCCCCAATCTCATTCTGCCAATGACCATACGCAGCAGCAGAACCGCAGGGGACGTCCAACTGGGCATGTGCGAACAAAGATCGTTGGTGCAGGATCGCTGAGCTTCCGCTTGCTGGCTACCAACGGCCCAGTTGTCTATTTCCATTTCCATTTCTGCAGTGGTCTCAACGCTAGTGCCACTATTTAACGAGCCTTTGAATAAAAGTTGCTGAAAAGTCGTCGATTTGTGCCGTATACTGCGCAGATACCACGTGGGGTGTTGGCGTGCCCCTGTCGGTAGGTGTCACTGCGTTCTGCTGTTGCTAGTTATTGGCCGGCTGTGTATGAATGAGCACAGTGCAGTGGTGACCCATGGTGTTGTCATTAACCTCTTCTGCGGGACGTGTCACTCCCGTTTCAGCTCCTTGCACTAGTGTGTAAGCCACATCCTGTTGGAAGCTGGTCGCTCTAATCGATATGAGCTATGTCAAATAATTATCGCAATGTAGAAATTCTACGTAAATCGTTATTCAGTACGCAACGAGCAAACACGATTTCGCGCTCTCTTTAGCGACCAGCTCGCATCAGTCAAACTCCGTCCTGGGCCCACGAAATGTAGGTTGGTGTATGTGTGACGATATTTTGTAGGCTGTGAACTGTCTGCCACTCTTGTCAGGCTGGCGCTCTAGTCTGTTTTCCTCGAGAGTCTTGATGTGTGGGACTGGGACGGAGACTTGGCCATGGCTAAGCAACTGGCTCACTGAACCAGCATCGTCGCAAATTTGCCTGCTTCCGACTAATAAACTGCATGATGCGACAGAAAGAATCATTTTGGATTCTAATTCGTGATCGAGGGAGCGATGCCCTCGTTGGCGGCCATTTTTTAAATGTATGGCGTTTTTAGCCGTAATGTGCCAGTTGCTTTGCTGTCCCATAGTCGGTTCTTGTTAGCACATTATTTATGTTTATGTTAATTTTCTCTCTTGTTTGCTTTTTTTCTTGCTATTGATTTGCATCCACTGGTGCCCTCTACAAACAGCCGCTTGATGAAGATACTCCCCTGATAATACTGACAGTTTTACACTACGCCAACATGGCTTTCACGATCCTTTTCTCCATCGAATGCGTTTTGAAGCTCACAGCTTACGGACCCAAGGTTAGACCTTCTCGTTATCTGGACAGGAGGTCTGAAAGGCAAATTTCATATGCGTCCAGACGCTATAGTATAAGGCTGAACAGAGGGAAGACAAAATCGAGTTCATAAATTATTTCGCAAACTTACCGAAGGATCTCGCTGCAACTGGCCATGCTGATGTTTCTGCTCGGCAGCCTCCATAGAAGAACGTCTGTTGCAAGAAGTGGGTGGGCATATCGGATTCTCTCAGCAGGGCGGCATTCCTTTCAGACCTCCTGTTTCTAAATTCAATGGTTGACTTCGTACGTTCATGTCGCGCTGCAGTGAATCAGCCTGCGTGCACCCATTCAGCACATGTGCACGCACCTTTACTCTGTCAAGTAACCGTCTGTCTCAGTCTTCTCACTAACTCACTCAGTAAGATAATATATGCACGCGTGATAGCATGATGGATCTTTATCGAATCTGCCATGAACGAACATACTCAGTAAGCTAGGCAACACTTAGCAGTTTGCACAATACGTAAATTCGTGTGTAGCATAGCTACACTTACAAACACGAGTAGTAGTAGTTGTTGTTGTTTTGTTGTAGGTGATTTTGAAATATTAACACATCATCATAATCGTTATTAGAAATTGTGTGTGAACGGTAATGAATAATAAAAAGCATTGCTAATACACATTCAAAATTCGCGTGATACAACTTGTAGCCGAAAGTAGTAGATTCTAAGAAACCCAACGTATATCACACACGCGCGCACGCGCGCACACACGCACACACACACACACACACACACACACACACACACACACACACACACACACACACACACACACACACACATATATATATATATATTATATATATATATATATATATACATATATAACATAATTATATCATATTAGACAAACATAAATGTAACATTAATTTAACTACATGTATATTTGAGATTCTTCATATCAACGAGCATGTTCAATCACGATTGGATTCCAAGTGAGCCAGGCACTTGGATTCAATTTCAAACGGCCGTGTGATTGGATATAGGTAAATTTGTAGAGGAACCGAGTTGCTTCTCTGTAATGTACAAAGAACATGTAAACTGTTCCGTTGTGGTTTTCCAGATAGATCAGGTTAGTTATAGATTTTCCAGACAGATAAGGTGCTGCACAGTCTGAATGGGGACAGTGTTGGGCTGTGTCTGGTCTCAGCTATCATTTTACTTTACTTTTATTCGTTATATATATATGTTGTCGCAACGCCAGTGCTTACAACGCGACCACCTGTGTGAGCATATCTACATACTCCGTTTCTTCGAGTCGCTACTATTGTTTCCCGTAGGAACCGTCTTCCACCTCGTCATATAAAGTATATATTCCTATAGTTGACTGTCACACATGCTGAACCATCCGGATGAATAATTGCTATCGTTATGATTTTCTTTGAAGCTAGACCAGTACAGCTCCACACTGAAGCAGATCAAATAATATTCCTATTATATACCTCAGATCATCTGTTTAAGGGGGTTATTTCCTAGCATGGCGTCAACGTCATTTTGACTTCTGTTGCAGAACTTACCGTTTTTCAACGCAAGCTTTGCGCACCTAGGTGTACCCAAACTCACAACCCTGTTATATGTGATTGCCTTGTTAAGTATTCTCACTATAGTTGCCTCACACGCCTCTTCCTATTACGTTTGCTATTTTGGAATGGGTTTATTAAAAGGTATATAATAAAAATATTATTGGCCGACTGTCGGCCATGTTTGGGGCTTGAGTTTGCCTGGCTGCTGTAGTAACGTGTAGTTTGGTGTGGTACCTGTGCATGCTGCGAACGGCCGCATGTGTTATAACCATTTATAACAGAGTTTAGACAACATTTGCAATGATAATGCATTCTGTCTGCTTATCGTCAAGGATAGCGAAACTATTAGATGGATTTATGTGTTAATGAAGCTACTTAATGGGTTTACGTGCGTACTATAAACGTCTGTAGCCTACTGTTAAATGGAATATAATGCATAACAGAAATTAGCCCGTTCTATAGCTCCAATTTTTTGTGCATTTGAGCATAGTTATGTTAGAAGAATATATATCGACGAATAAAGATTTTAACTGCGCCCTTTTTGTTCTTATAATAGCGTATAATTTATATACTTGACGATACATAGGCAAAGTACATTTAGCGACATTTTTCAAAATACAAGTAAACGTTGTAAAATGTAATGTTTAACTCATTACTTGTCGATCAAGCGTCTCCTGTGAAAGTTGGAAAATGCAGCTTGTAAGAGCACATATTATTCCTGCCATATAATAAGTTTTCGACAATTAAAATGTTGCCAAACATTGGCCAGACCCAAAAAAATACCACAGGCCATAAGGCCACGGCCTGTACCGTAAGCATGGCAACGGTCCCCGCATCTTTGTCAACTGGCAATCAGCTTGCGCAAAAATCCATAGAGTGTACATAATAACAATGGTGGTAATAATAATAATAATAGTAACAACAATTTTTATATTACTCGGAGAGAATGCACATTTTTGATGAATAAGAATTATGATAGATATAAATTCACTCTTAGAGCCAACTCAAAGATTCTGGTAGGATGAAACATGTGTGAACTGCAATGCATTTAAAAGACTATGAAACCTTTCACAGGAGACGCAGATGTACGAATATCGTAATTTCTCTATAGCTCACCTTCTTGTGTTCGATTGCAATCGTTGGTCAGCGCATAGCCCGCGGTTTGTATGTAGTCGGAACTGACCGATCTAGATTTTTTTCGAGTAATGGTGATATGAGAGAATAGTGATAAAATAACTGTTAAATCTCATTCTATGATAACGAAATTTTCGTTATCCTATTGTGAGAGAGTTGTGTCTAGATCGAAATTAATTAAACGTTCTTTGTTCGTAAGGCTTGTGTATTTACTTGTGCCCTTTGCGTGAAACGACTACCGTGCATTGCTCCTGGTACGTCCTCCATTGATGTCTGATGTTTCTGTCGTGTAACCTCAGAATCGGGGGACGGGGTAATGCAGGGTAACCAACTGCTTGCGTAACGTGGTTCTTGTTGTTGTTTCCTAAACTATAGAACTACTTTAAGGATTTGTGGAATTCGTTTGACTTCTTCACTGTAATTGGCAGTATTGTAGATGCAGTCCTAGATCATTTCGAGGACCCTGCCAGAAAGGTAAACCCCACGACTGTTGTGCTGGAAGATGTCGCCATCTACAAGCTGCCGTCTGCCTGCTGTGCTTAAACCTACTGGCTGCGTGTTCCTTTAGTTTCCCCCTTTGTTCTGCTTGTGGGTCAGGGCCACTGGCGATGACATTGCTCTCCCCGTCGAGTTTATTTGCTAGTCACACGTGCCTCTCGTACGTGTCGATCATTGTTGCGTCACATGATCGAACAGTGACGTGTGTGTAACGCGAGCGTGATGTCATCGCACGGGGGCGCTGACGCATGCGTCACCAGGGGACAAAAAGGACTGCACGTGTATGCGCCCACCTATAGTTATTCGCCGGGAGGTAGCTGCTGGTGGCTTTTGCATTGCTGTTCACTCTGGTGTGTCTGTTTCTAGAACTACTACAGAGATTCATGGAACATCTTCGATTTCGTCATAGTGGTCGGGAGTATTGCCGATGTAGTGATAACCGAGTCACAGGTAGTGCGTATCACTTTCGGATTTGTGCACATGCCTTGGTAAGTGCATTGTGGCTTAAAAAGATCCTGCTATTGCCTGTGCAGGGGTGCTGCCGCTAGCCCACACGCGCCAAATAACCTTTTGTTGTTACAGACTTTCTCGGCTAAAACTTCGCCCATTCGTGTTTAGTAGCGCTAACGCGATGCGCCTTGCTTTTCGGTGTAGCAGATATTCTCTCGAAAAAAATGACTTCATGCTCAGACTTCTTATAGAAAGGACGTATCTTCGAGCACCCACTGTCGCGTGATCGTAGGTCTTTTAATGCCATAATGCAGTTTCTAGGGTATTTCCCTAAAGTTCGACTGGCGAATTTGTTGATACTAAGGTAACTGTCAACTGCCAGGTATCCCCGAAGCGCCGTCTATAAGTTGTCTGCCTGGTTACACGTCTCCTTTCTAGCTGAGGCCATCTGTATGTACTCCTCTCTCTTTAACGTGAGAAAGTGCGAGCGTGCGTACGCGCGTGTGTGTTGCATGCGTTTCCTCTGTGCACGTCTCTCTAGCCTGTTATTCTTTGTTCAAGCGCACTCCAAAATTGTGCAGGTCAGCCCGTTGTAGCGTTCTCTACATGGCTAACTGTCCTGTTTATTGTCACGATGCCACTCTGCTATCGTTTGAGCTGGACTGGAATCCCTCATTAAATATGTATATATACTCATTAGCTAAGAAAAAGAATGTTTGCTGTCTTTGTCCGTGTAGGTCGTTCGTACAGTCGTCAAACCTTACCGTCGCAATTGCAACAGTGTTATCAATACTTTTAGCTGTCCCGAAAATAAGAACAATTTCACAACGCAAAGGCATAGATAGACGTGAAATCTACTCTATACACGGTCAGTAACTAAAGTGAATCAGTCCGATGGAACGTTGGTTTATTCTGCCGCCAATGTTGCTCATATAGAACAGGTTATCTCGAGGAAATGCTTGTAACGGGCTGTATGCGTGAACGCTCCCGCATCGTAAACAGCTAGAGTTATACCCTACCAACCGATGCATATATATATTTATATCTACATAGAGCCGTAGCTGTGTCTGTGTTAGCGAGAGCGCACCTGTCCGCATGCAGGCTGTAGAGAAAACAGATAATTGCTCTTAGTGCTACGCGCAGCTTAGAGCTTCAGCAATGGCTTTACTGGGATCAGCCGACCTCGCTGCTTCCCCCTCTAGATCTGTTACGATGTAAATGCATCTTAGATATAGAGCTTATACGTCAATGAGCAGCCCCTTCGCGTCTTATTTCACGTGTATTGACCTCATCTAAACGCTGATGTCTACGTATATATATATATATATATATATATATATATATATGTGTGTGTGTGTGTGTGTGTGTGCGTACGTGCGTGCATGCGGGTGTGCGTGTGCGTGCGTGCGTGCGTGTGTGTGTATATACATGCGCATACGAAGTGTTTGATAAATGTTATTGTAGTCGTACTAATCACAAACGAAACCATGATTGGCGGGTGGGTCTACTTAAGAAGCACATACGGGAAGAAAATGATGTTCATGCTTATACGTAGTTTATACTGATGTAGCCGCAATGATTTACTTGCGTATGACTCACATGGTCTAGGTGCATCGTTGCTATCAACCTATGCGTTTTGCGTCTAGTCGTACGTATTGTATATTCTGTAGGTGTTATTCTAACATGTGCTTCTGCCGTCTATACCCGTCTGTATACTGACTCTGCTTTGTACACGTGCGTGTGTTTGTGTGTGTTTCTATATACAACGCTCTAACTTCTCACGTATTTCTATACATGTCTAGCTGTTTCACCGCGTGTTTCATAACGAACTACTCGTTGCATTCTTGGGCCAAATTTTTATATGAATCAAAATTGTAAAAAGAAAAAAGCGTTACCTATATATCACAATATAAATAGTCTATATTAGCCATAGATATGATAGAGTTCGAACAGACTATTACGTGTTAGGCGCACATAGGACTGTGTATATGCTTCTGTACTACCGTATGCTCTTGTACATGCCTGCTAGATGGCTCCGCGTGAAAAATGTGAGCAATATAAAGGCCACCAAACGTATCCCTGTTTTAATGCTTAAAGAATCACGGCGAGTTGCCCCTGATCAAATATAACGCCTTCCGAATATCTGGAGTGCTTCTTTGTCATCAATTGAATAATCAATAGACTCGAAATAATATCTGCGGTGCTGTGTGAGAGACGCACATAGGAGGAGGTATCTGTAGAGGACACATCGACGTCTACTGTTATCAGGTCACAGGGAGCCTTAAACACGCGCCGACATTGGCATGAATAGAAGCATATGGGCGTGCACGTGTATACGAGTAGTAGTCATACATATACATCAGGAGTAGATAATAGGGAATTCCCTATTATCTACTCCTGATATACATGTATACAAGAGCTAATAATATTATCTAAAAGCTAAAAGCTAAGGTATTATTAGCTCTTGATGTATAGCACTTTAAACATTATGCACATATCAAGTAGTGAAAGCCGTTTTGTGCACTCGCTTGCTCACACCGCCGTTTATTGGTGTGGCTAAGATAGCAATGATATCTCGCCCTCGGAGGTCAGTTTACTATGACTTTATGTATGTATTGGCAGAACAATTTCATCAACATTGGCTTCTTGCGGTTATTTCGAGCCGCTCGCCTCATCAAGTTGTTAAGGCAAGGTTACACGATCCGAATTTTGCTCTGGACCTTCATACAATCATTCAAGGTAAAGTCACTTCACTTCTATTGATTTCTTTTCTATTTGCTAGGAAGCTAATAAGTTTCCGTGTGTTGTGGTTTTTGTGTCGACTTATAAGTGAAGCTATAATTGAGAAAATAATTGACAACAATATAGACCCGAAAGCAACAAAGAGAAGGCAACCCGATTCTTTCATCACATACACCAAAATACTGGGGCCCGTTTTCAGAAACATCGTAATGTTGAGACTAATGTTAAGACTAATTTTGTAATGACAACGGACCCCTAGAATCTAACTGCAAAAACAACTATTCGTTCAATTTCTTGATACCAGGTTTCCATCTCTATCGAGGTTTTATCGACAATTAAGATGATGTCGATATGTCACTCGAGGTTTGGTGTGTTCTGGATTAATAATCATGCTCTTAAACTTGAATGATACCAACGCTGCGCATAAGAGTGCTAATTAAGTTTCTTATATCCCGTAGGCGCTGCCGTACGTGTGTCTTCTCATCGGAATGCTGTTCTTCATCTACGCTGTCATCGGCATGCAGGTGCGTTACATGATCACCTGGTCACCTGGAACAGTCGTGACGCGACGCCTGGTGGCAACCTCACGCAGCTTCCATAGTCGGCACGATACCGTGTTTACGTCTTGTTTAGTCACTGATGTTTACTAGGCGGTTGAATGTATGCGCCAGTGTTTTGTCGGTGGGGTGTTACCTAAATATAATGCATACGCGCCACATGTAGGAAACGAAGGCGGAAAACCACGGAGCGGGCTAGCGAGATTGTTGTGCATTGCATTGCCCGTACATCCACGCATGCCTGTTTCTGCTCAGCTGGTATCTGCAACGACAGAGCAGTTGAATTCTAAAGTTAACCCCAACTAATAACCTAAACATAACCACAAATATAACCCTCTCACTATCCCCACGTAGAATCTCGACGCGCTGCTAGTTATGCTGCTAGCTCAGTGTCTATGCGTAACTAACTTGCTAACATGCGTGTGCGTGTGCCTAGGTGTTCGGGAACATAAAGCTTGACCCTGACTCTGCGATTAACCGCCACAACAATTTTCAACTATTTCTCAGCGGACTGCTTCTCTTGTTCAGGTATGCGAGCTGTTACACATATTATGTGTTTCCTCTGCGGAACTAGGTCCGCGACGTACGACTGTTGCCATGCGAGATGTGGTTAACGTTAGACTAGAGAATGACGCGACTGACGTTCACGCTAGATATTACCAGGAGTTTATAATAATAGATATTATATTATTATATCTATAATATTATTATTAGTTAATATTAACTTAATTAAATTAATAATTAATTATTATTAATAATAATAATATATTATTATTATCTTTGATTATTATAACATCTATTATTATTCACTCCTGATATTACCTAATTACTAACAATCAACGCGCCTATTGCTAACATTATTAATTATGTATCTAACTATTTTAGCTGCCGGCGTTAAAGATATTTAAGTGCGATCCCACTTCACATATACAGCCTACACAAGCCTGATATTTTGATATCTGTATTGCTATAATATATTTTACTAGCTAATTTCTTTTAATTTTCCGCAAAATAAAAAGTATATTAAATTTTGCTTCAGCTTTGCGCTGACTAATATTGAGTTTCTACAGAGCATTTAGGAAGGTCTCTGTCTAGTGAATACACAGAAGAAAGTCACTGACTAATACTCATATCTCCGCAGGTGCGCGACTGGCGAAAATTGGCAGTTGATCATGCTGTCGTGTGCAAGTGGCGCCCCCTGTGACCCAGATTCAGGCCTCCCTGATGGTTCCTGCGGCTCTCAGATTTCATACTTTTATTTCTGCACATTTATATTCTTCTGTTCGTTTCTAGTAAGTTATGGATATATTTTAATTTAAAATTACCTGCACACGTTATATGCATTAACGTCACTACGCACGCGCATTAAAATGTATAATGTTAGGACGTAGTGTCACATTGTATTTTCAAACTTATTATCATATCAAATTAATCAGCGGAAGATTCATTATGCGCTAGGCATCGTTCAGGTGTCGTTTGCTATGCACGGAAACATATTGAATAGCTTACACGCAATTCCTTACCAGATGTTAAACCTATTTGTGGCTGTCATCATGGATAACTTCGACTACTTGACGAGAGATTCCTCCATCTTGGGTCCACATCACCTGGACGAATACATCCGGTGCTGGGCTGAAATCGATCCAGCTGCAAAGTTTGTGCTTTCTTACTAGATGGAAGACGTTACTCTATCGCCATGCAAAACACAGCTGATTATCTTAATGATAATAATAATAATAAATATAGATATAATAATAATAATAGTAACAACAATTTTTATATTACTCGGAGAGAATGCACATTTTTGATGAATAAGAATTATGATAGATATAAATATAGATATAATAATAATAATAATATTAATAATAATAATAATACTAATATTGTAGCAAACGAACAATCGACGCATACAACGCATGGTTTGTAGTTAGTTGAAACCAATACAATTCTCTCCAATCACCACGCGTATTGTTTATTAACAGCTACCTATGTGAAATTGCATTCTTACTCTACATGGAGGAATTTTTATATGTTTACAGAGGGAGAATTCACTACACAGATATGTACGAGATGTTAAGAAACATGGCGCCGCCTGTTGGGTTTGGACGAAAGTGCCCATATAAACTTGCATACAAGGTAAGCAGTGATCTGGGCTTATATCATGCCTAAACTCTTCCTGGGCCAATGCAGTTCCTAACGGTTCGTGAATTTACCCTATTTTCAATATGGTCAAATGCTTGGTGATTAAGAAGAGTGCTGGATCATTGAGGGTCATCACCTTAGTTTCAATACAGTGCTACCTTGATTATAGCAAATGATGTGACCGTCGGTTTATTATGCAGATATTGCGAGGTATATAAGTGAATGTAGTGAGTGACTGACAGTTTAACATAGTTAAAGAGTAAAACAATGAACGAGTCACCTTTGCTCGTATTTTATTCGCGTTCAAATGCCACCAAAATGTCTAGTTTTGCAGGTAACTAGTGAAATTAGCAACAACATTGCTTACTGATCTAGACTAAACTTGCTTATTCTCCTGTATAATTTTCTGAGCCCCCTTGTCCGGCATGATTTTTTTTTCTCTTTCTATAACACGCAGCCGCGCAATTACCGGCTTGTCGAGTTGACCCGAGATAAACCGTTGCTGTTCAACTGTTCCGCGACTTTTCTCCAGCGTTCTATATGGGACGCTTAACGCCTCGCTGTTTCTCACTGCAGAGGTTGATCAGGATGAACATGCCCATTGCCGAGGATAACACGGTGCAGTTTACAACCACACTTTTCGCTCTCATCCGCGAATCTCTTGGCATCAAGATGCGCAACGGTGAGCGGCCCTCGAAGTGCTTAAGTGCTCTTAGCCTCCTCGCGTCCAATGTGAATAACACGTGTGCGTGCATGCGTGAGTACTTGTGAGTGCCTGTGCGTGCACCTATCTGCGCACATATGCACCTTACCACACCATGACTTGTGAAAACCTGCGAGTAGTGTGATTGAGGTAATTAGTAATAACCGAATAATGATGAGTGCATGACTATGTTTCTTGTACATGGTAACGAATACAACGGAAAATACAATTGCATATAATACAACAGCAATAAAATAATAAAAATAAATAATAAATAAAATAGTAAATAGTGACGATCTTGCTTGTCCTTTCTAGCGGACGAGATGGACCAAGCAGACGAAGAGCTAAGACAAGTGATTAGATTAATGTGGGCGTATCAGTGCAAGAAGAGCAACCTGGTGGGCAAACTCGTGCCAAACAACGCTGGTAATGTCACCCCTCTAAAATGCATTGTGAACATATTCCACGATACGGTCTATACAATATACTATATATATATAATACTATATACTATACTGTCTATATAATATATATATATATTATTATATATAGGTTCTTAATATATATATTACTATATATTATGTGTGGTGTGTGTGATGCTGTGCAGTGGGCAGGGTGCTGTGCGTCGCGTGCGTGTGTGTGCATGTGTGGTGCGTGTGCGGGCGTCTGTGGTGTGTGTGCGCGCGCGTGTTGTGTGTTGTGTGTGTCGTGGCTGCGTGTGCGTGCGTGCGATGTAATTGTGCGTACGTACGCGCGTCGTTGCGCTGCATTGTGTGCGTGCGTGCTTGCGTGTGGGTTGCGCGTGAGTTGGTGGGGCTGTGTGTATTTTATGCGTTCGGTGTGTGTTTGGGCGTCTCGTGTTGCGCATGTGTGTGTCATGCGTGTGTATTGTGTGTTATGCTGTGCGTTGTGTGTGTGCTTGCGGCGTGTGTTGCCGATGCGTGTGTGGTGGTGGAGTTGCTGTGTTATGTGTTGCGCCGTGTGTGTGTCGTGCGCGATGTGTGCTCGGCATACCGTGTGTGTGCGCGCGTGTGTGCGTATGTGTGTTATGTGCGTGCCGTGCATGTGTGTGTGTGTGTGAGTGTGTGGTTTGTGTGCGTTGTGCGCGCGCTTGTGTGTGTCTGTTGGTGTGTGCGCGCTGCGGTGTGTGTGTGCGTGCGTGTGTGTGTCGTGCTCGGTGGCACGCCATGTGGTGTGTGTGTGTGTGTTTGTGGTGTGTGTGGTGTGGTGTGGTTGGGCGTGTGTTGTGTGTGGTCCGGCTGTGCAGCGTGTGCGGTGCGTGTGTGTGCTGTGTGTGTGTCTTGTGTGTGTGTGTGTGTGAGTTGTGTGTTGTGTGTGTGTGCTGGTGTGTGTGTGTGAGTGAATGTGTGTTGATGTGATGAATAGATGATAGAGAAAGACTGAGATGATTAAGATGATAAGTGAAATGTGAGTGTGTGTGGTGTGCTGTGTGTTTAAAGGTGTGTGGCCTGTGTGTGGGTCAGTGTGGTGTGTGCGCGCGGCTCGCTCGCGCGGGGCGCTCCGTTACATGCGAGCGTACTTGTGACGGCCTTTTGCTTAAGATCCCTTAATTATTATGTGAGATATTGTCACAAGTGTGATGGCTGCATGTGGTTTGCAGAGCTTGGAGAGGGTCAGCTGTCGGTGGGTAAAGTGTATGCAGGTCTGGTCATCCTTGAGAACTGGAGAGCTTATAAGGCGGCCATGGGAGCAGTGCAGGTGAGGCTCATGAAAACATTAGTGTATAGTGTCACCGCTACTTCTGCAGAGCATTGCAGTTATAATATGCCGTCACTCTAATGACAAACACAGACGCCATCTTGACACACTGGTTTCTTCGTTCATAAATTGAATTCAATCGTTGTCTGTAAAGTTTTTATTTTTATTGTTTCCACACTTAAATATTTTGTTTGGTGCTTTAATCGGCCATTTTTTGTCAATATTTAACATAAGTATATCGGTTTTGAGTAGTTTTTGCCAATTATGTTTACTTAGACCCCTGTGATTCTCCTACAAAACATTATTTGTTGTGTGATGACTTAATAGCGTATGATATTACCTATAATGCCCGTGGTGACCCGAATCGTCTTATATATTTGCATAAATAATATTCCTACAACAATATAAACAATATTGACAGACACCTTCCTAGACTGAGTATTTCTAGACGCCTGTGTTTGGCATCAACTGCGTTGATCATTTTTGTGCATTGTTGTGTTTCATGTGAGATGGTGTTTCAGCAAAGGTAATTTATTATCAACCAGTCTTTGCTAAGGCAGCTAACTTTTACTAAATATACTAAAACAACAGAGTTAACAGTAATTTTTATCCATTGTGTACCCACAGGAAAGCCCACATGAGGTCAGTACACGTGTGAGAGCATTCGGTTCGCCTTTCCTGTATATATCTATATATACTACACACACGCATATATACACATACGCACCGTTGCCGGTGAACCACTGCACTGTCCTGTCACTGTGTCGTGTCATTCACATGGAGCAGCATCATACAAACTCGCTCATGTATCTCCCGAGGCTGACGCTTAGCTTATCGTCGCCGCCGCGAGTCCAATTCGTGCAACGCACCCTGGTGCGAGAGCAGAGCTATGATGTATAATGCTGCAACAGATCGTGGATATTGCACTGTCTTCGTAGCACTCGTACTGGTTCGATATTCCGATAATTCCCTCCTATGATGTTGTCGTTTTCGTTTGTTTTTTGAGGGACGACTATGGATATATTCTTGCAAGTTCCCTGTCTGTTACACTGCGCAATGTCCTGACATTGCGCTGCGCAACTTAAGACAGGTTTCCTATACCGCACCGTGCAATCCTTCATCCGCACAATTTTAGCCAGTTTTTTTATTCTGCGTTCAGAAAGTTATGTTCTCTAACGACACCCTTAGTCTATTTGCTTGTTTTCGCCAACACATGGCTACGTGCATTTTGATTTATACAGAGTGTTATAAAATCTTGGTTCTGGAAACAATCAATTGTTGGCAAAATTATCGTTTCAATTGTAATTGTGTTTCTGTAGCATGAAACCTTTGATTACTTTTTGACTGCTGCATTTAGCCCCCAGCTTAAATTGTTGACCTGAAATGGTAAACAATATACAAAGAAATTGCATAATAATTCCAGAACCAATTTATTACTAAATATTGCACGTTTTATGTGATTCAAAAATACAACACAGTAACCTCCAATGCATGCATCCTTAATACGATAGAAGGATAACAAATTGTGTTGCATTTTGTATTAAAAGTAGATACCTCTTCCAGTATGTAAAACACCTACTTGCTCTATATTTTCAATTTGGTTAAGGTTGGCTGGTTTAGGTACCTTGAAAGACAGGTTTTATCAATATTTAGTTTTAAAAAGCAATATCGCTGAATGATTCCTGGGTGACGCTCCTCTTCTTTCCTTTAAAATCTAAAACTTGTATATAATTATATAGTTTAGGTTTATAGATATTATCAATAGCATATATATATATATATATGCCATCACAGATAATAATTCGTTGGAACAAAATAGTAGTGATCTGACAATGTACTTACTATCCACGTACGTACCTTGATTATACGATTGACGATTTCCTAGATGACTTCGTATATTTTCAAGCAACCCCACGCCCCTCACCCGCGTGTAAATACAAATAGTGCTGCCAATTTAATAAACGCACCTTGTGGCGGTTTTTGCCAATGCAATACCATGGACGACGTATTCACGGGAATATATATAAATGCCTAAATAGCCCATTTTGTTGCGTAAACGATAGAATAATAGAAACTCTATTTGAAGTAAACAAATTGCAAAGTAACAAAGCTATCTGGCAAAATATTCCTATCCACCAGCCTTAACGAGAATTTCGCATGTTTTTTTACTACACTTCTTGGCGAATCGAGTGTATTTGTCGCGACGAGGGTGATATTACCCGACCCAGTCGAATTGAGTGTGGTACCTGAATGTGGTATATATGGTGTATACCTACTACACGTATTTAGGTGCTCGTATCTGTTTTACTAATCGTTACGTCCCATTCAATACGCCATTGTAACACGTGACGATGTGACACGATCAAGATGTCGCCGTGCTGTGATGTAGCTTTACGTGCGCACCTTGTGCGCCTTTTGCATGCTATTCCACCGGGCATGACTCACACTTGCACGAACGTTAATTTGTGCAGTGCTATACTAGAACCATCATGGAGGCACTACGTGATTGAAGCTAGTGCCTCCATGTAGAAATGCTGGTAGCTAATAGCAAAAGGGTCTGTCTGGTTCGATGCGTGTTTGTTATAGGCAGCATCTAGCCTAAGCAGGAGAACCTTATCGTGTTGTGATGGCATCATCCACCTATGATGTCATCACACGTCATTCAATGACGTCATTGTTTTTACATCCTATTAGATCGAGAACTATTGGACTGCAATGATAATAATTGGGAAAGATTTAAGCACAGGCTTTATAGCCGCTGACAACTAATTTCTGCTGGATGAATAAGGGAATGTCTTTTATTAATTTTTTGAGGAGGATTTCTGATATTGCTCTTGCGGTATGATAAATTCGTGTTTATTTCTGTATTGCGTAATGTACATTGCTCTCAACAGTTGATCTGTTTCTTGTGAAAGTTTTTCCAGTATATAAAATATGGAAGATAGTTGGAAAACGTGGCTTGCCTTTATTGCTACTTATTTATATATCAACGCTACTAACCTGATAAATAGAGTAAATCAAATATATGTGGATTTTTTACTATTGAATAATAATCGTGCAAAAAATAACGCACATGTCTATTGTAAACACGTTATATATTTTCACGTTGCTTCCATATTTTATTGTTTGTACCCAGTACTAACGCAGCTGTTGGAGATATTGTGTTGAAATTCGTTTTCTTCTATTATACTTGATAACTGAAGCCAATACTACTAGCGCATGTATTCGCCGTAACTATACTTTCAAATGAGCATCCTTTCTATGTACTATCAGCCGTACCCAAGCCCTGTTTTGCTTCAAACTATAACATGTGATTTTTTGCCTGCAAGATCACTACTTATTGGATGAGGCTTGGATAGGGGGTCGATTCTGGTACTAACTTACCCTGCGCAACAGTGCTCATCTTTTTGACAGGAATGTCCGGTCATTAAGTAATGCTGCGCAGCGTAGGCTGGTAGTCCTTTAGAAAGTGGCTGTCTGGATTTTACTGATCTAACGATATGATTTATTTTGCATTTCTCGTCTGTAGGAAAAAACTCCAGAGGTCAGTAACGAGATCCTGTTGAGTTTTATCCTGTTCGTTTTGTGCACGTTGCGCCATGACGCGAGAGTCAGGCATCACGTGGCGTTATTATCGGTGTTTATTTCGCTTCATTATCTAAATAATGTGTTCGTGTGCATGATCGCATCACCACCGTTACGAATGCTGCAGTAATTAGTGTATAGCCCCTGTTTCGGAACAAACCAAAGGTTACGCCGCCGTAGCGTCGGGTAACTTGTAACCAACTCGACGACTGCGTGGCGTTTTAGCAAAACGTTATCTGTTTACAGTGTTTTATTACAGCGATAGAATGCGTAGTTGTAAACACGGTGATCGTTGCCGTTGTGCTTCACTAGTCGTTTTTGCACATAAATTGCAAGATAGTAGATAGTCTTCATTTGCGGTGTTTTGCCTTGCACCTGTATAAATTGTGGCGAACGATGGCCAGCTTTAGTAAGAGACGTTGATAAAAGAACAAGAGTGCTGGCGGGGAAATTGGTTCTATAGAAATATATACATATCATTTGTTAAAGCGCATTTATTCCATTTCGTTGTTTTTTTGCTAATAATAATTGGTGCAACCGCAGGACCTCGGCACTTATATTGATCACACAAGTGTAGGCGCATGCTGCTATTATATTGTCTAGCGAGGTCACTTCACTGGTGACCCGTGACCCTGTTTGGCTAAACGACACGTTGTTTATTCGCAACTTCGAACTGCAGGATAGATTCAGTAGAGCATCGTGCTGTTTTTTTTGTTACGAGCTCCCGCCTAGTATTTGGATCGTTATCTCTCATTTTTATTCATAACCTTTGGCATAATAACTTTTATTAATAATATTGAGCATCTTGTATACTAGATAGCTTTGCTGTATAGGAAATAGTGGTTTGCTGCCAATCCTTCCATATATGATTAGGCATCGAACAAGCTGTAGTTAACGCTCATTGATTATGAGATTACGTTGTCTAAGAGGCTGCATGCTATTCGCTTGTGTGATTACCGTTTCCATGGTGATATGTAGAGGTGCTTTTATATAACAAGAAATAATACACGTTTATTACAGACAAAACGATTTAAATTGTTATTGCCACTCATTCGGGTGTTTTTGTACAATAAGAAAACGGTGCCATACATTATAATGCCTACCCTTGTTGAGAAGCGAGAAGTAAAAATTGTATTGTTGTAATGGTCCGAGGTGATAACAATTTTCAAAATACTCTTCCACAGCAAACCATTCAGTAACGCTTTCACTATAGTCTATTTTAGAAGGGGACCGGGTTTTGCCAACATAAATGTTCTAACATTTGCATGCGTGTTCTGTTATTGTGTACTGTAGTGTACTGTACACGTCTGCACCACTGATATATTGGTTACTAGTCTGTCGTTTATACCAAGCCTCCTCAATTGTTTGCAGCGTCCACCATCTTTCTTTAAGCGCATATTGCGCGGAACCGTCCGGACGCCATCGCACCGCTCCAATGCCAGCGAGTCAGATGAGGAGCATGGGGGCCACCGCTCGCGCTCTCACTCTCTGAAGGACGGCTCCAACCTCAGGTGGCTCGACATGTCCGCATAACATCGTCATCATAGCAGCCATATTTTCTCGCCACGCGGAAGCGCTTCCGCGAAATGTTCTGTTAAAAATAAAGCCCGATTGCCTGGCGAAGCTGATGTTTACTTTTAAAAATACACTGATTATGTTTGCCGGAAATAAATTCTGTGATTATGATAAGCTTGTCTGGCCACGAGGATAACTAAAAATTCGCGGCGTTCATCGAATTATCACGTAAAAAGGGTGATTCGCGAGTTTACTGCATATATGCATTTCATCAACTATATACCATAAATATGTATCAGTACAAAAGGATTCTAATCGTGTGCTGCTTACATGTGTGTGCGCTTTCGCGCGTGCGTGCGTGCGTGTGTGTGTTTGGAGGGATATGTGTGCACGTACATGCGTGTGCCTGATCAATCTGCTAATTTATCTGTATATGAAGAGCTTATTTGCAAATATGCTTACATCCATTTTTCTTACATCCTGCTTAACGGACCCAACATAAATCACCTTTAGTTGCAAAACAGCTTGCATCCATGCTTTGACCAATGGAATGCAAGGAACTGTAAAAATAATTTAAATTGATAAACCACATGTATCAAATAATTGTTTTTGTCGTTTTCTTCTAATTCTCCAAAATGGACGTAAGCAGTTTTGCAAATAAACTTCATATATATCTCTGTGCGCCCTATGTGACGGTGCATGTTTTTCCGCGCAGCATTGATAAGCAGGAGAACGGTCAGCCGTGGAAGCGCTCGTTCAGCTTCCTCCGCCGCGTCAGCACGCGAAAGAGACATCGTAAGGACAACTCACCGCACAACCCCGAGGAACACTATGGACAGGTAGGCGCGTGCCCATATCACGGTCCCGTGGTCAGCGGCCGTCAGCGACAGGTATAACGTCTTGCGTGATGCTGAATCGCTCGTCCGGCAACAGCAGAACGGTGTAAATATCGAGCGTAATTTTGCGTACGTGAGATGACACATCACTCACGAGTGCGACGAATGAAAACATTGCCGTAATATTGCCCGTATCATCTCATGCGTGCAACACCCGCAGCTATATTTGTGATTAAAAACGTCTATGAGCCGACTATAGTTTAGTTTTCAATAGAATAAGCTTCATAATCTGTTTCTAATAAACTAATAATTAAAATCAATCTTATGTTAGTTATCGTCGTTATTGTATTAAGGCTAAAAATTATGCAAGTACCATAGACGCTCATTTGATAGTGGTTAGTTTTAGTCATCTTTATTATCTAGTACTTTTAGTGTGCGTTATCCTGGGTGATGCACCATTCGTATACGTAGATAGCAGTAAAATAACTGATGTTTGGATAAGGCTAGACACGAAATACATGAATCTGAACGATGTTCGATAGTATGCCGTGTTATCAGAACAATATTATATATATATATATATATATATATATATATATATATATATATAATATGTGTGTGTGTGTGCATATATGCATACATATATCATGGGAACCCTAAAATGGAGCGTTAGCCGATATCTTGGCAAATTTACTCGTATAACAGAGCGACATATACGAGTGAAATTTACCGATGTTGAAAGCTTATTTGCCAGCGATTAGAAACTAATATAGTGTTACTAGATGGTAGTGAGAATTTTGTTGTCAAGCACCTGTGATGGAACGACCTCTTCCCTCAGAACAATGGCCGACAGTCAGTGCTCGCAATTACACGGCAACTGACGTCGCTATGTTTCAGAGACGGGACTGTGGGATGCATGCACGATATGAACACATACATATTTTATGTACATCAAGAGCACACCGACCCTCTTATAGGATTCATGTATATTCTCGATATATATGCAGAGAAACGCAATCACACGCGAGCAAACGTATGATCATCGTGTACGCAGTGTGGCAGCACTGTCACTACGCGGACGCTTGCCCATCACAGTCGTACTGACCTACGATGTGCGAAGGGCTCCTCACTCACACCAGAGCCTACGAATCACTGATTTATATGCTCCTCACTCACACCAGAGCCTACGAATCACTGATTTATATGCTCCTCACTCACACTCACCGCCTGTTTCTGTGTGTGGCCACTAGGGGATTGAGCTGCGCGACGTGCACAAGACGGGCGACAGCTTGACGATAGGCTCGGCGCTGCTGTCTGCTGCTCACGAGTTGCGCGCCACCTCTATGCCAAAACTCAACTCGACAACTGTCGATTCGTCCGTAAGTTCTCACACGCGCGTAATTCTCAAGTGGCGTTAACGTGGCGAATAGTGAGCGCGCGCTACTCGAGCAAGACGCGCTGCGTCTCTAAAACGATCTTTAACTTCGGGCGTATTATGTGCGCGATTCAGGCAGTGAAGGTTAGTATAGAGGGTACCAACATGGCTAGTTAATTTACCTTCATCGCCCCTATACCCCAATCTCCACTCACTAGCAGACACACGCGCGCGCGCACGCACTCATGTGCACACACACGCAGACGCACACACGTGCGCGCCTGCACGCTCACACGTGCACGCGCGCACACAGAGGAGGTGACACACATACACACACACAGAAATACACACATGCACGCGCCTCCGCACCTGCGCTTTCCTTTGAGGCTCAGATAGTGAACTCGTCGGGATAAGGAGGGTTAGAGTAGTGTGCTGTCCTTCCGAATAGATTTCAGTGAATTCGCAAGACCGATGAATCAACATCGATTACCTGTTCGGGAGTCCACGAGAACGTCACCTCACATCACAGGCACTTGCAACCACTTCCAAATAGTTTTGATATCGCACGATCTATAGCAGGCTATGCCTATCTAGTGTGTAAAGTAGCTAGATGCCGCAAACAGTGATGTTAGAGCAGAAGGAGCTTGGCCTGTTAGCATTCAGCGGATATATATATCGAACGCATGCGGCAGTGGCACGCAGCTCGTGTCGTGTTCTGTCATCGTACGTCGCACGATGTGAACACCGACTTGTCTATTGTTTCAGGACGATCATGACTATGCGGGTGGCCTTAGGCCTCCCGGCCACCAGACGGTGCAGCGCTCGCACAGCGACACGACGCCCGAGCCTCGCAAGATGAGCCCCCCGTTGTCGCCACTGCCTCACAGGGCGACGTCACCTTCGCCCACCCGCTCGCAGTCTCCATCCGTCAGAGGTACAGGTAGGGCTTCATTATGCGCATTGATGGCAATGGCAGAAGTACCGTAATCGGCCGAACCTGTATGTTGAAGTTGTTTATCTGCGTCCCGTTATCTGAAGCATCATAAAAATACCTATGACGATATTAAGTATAAAATTTCATAGCTTTTGCAAGACACTTCAGTTCGAAAGTCGTGACATTTATGATAGTTGTGACTAGTTATTATGTTTCTAACAACGGACCCTCTAGTTACCTTTAGAATGGTTAGATAATATACTAAAATGTGTAAAGTTTACGCTGGACCGTGATACCTTCGAATTATATACCTGTACTGGGCTGTTTCTCTTTAGGCGGAGCGACAGATAATGTTTTAATCTGTAACGCATCTTTATTAAACTATTGGCGCGATAAAAGCAAACGAGGCTCATATGACGGAGCTTCAAGCTAAGGATGAGTCAGCGGTCTCCATCGATAATATTTAAAAGTTTTAATTATGCCAGTCTAATATATCAGGGACTGGCATAATATCATGTACTGGATAATAATTTTATCACTACTTATGTGGACAGTTTTGAATCAGTTATTGCGTGAGATAAGTGCAAAACTATAGGCTGTAAGCGAATATTTTCGCGACCGGTAAGTTTACTTGGAATGTATGCAGACATAGGCCTCTTTTTATCTTACACTGTCTTATACATCTCGGAAGTATGTATCGAAACGGCACTAGAACCCCCTCCCCCCAACCCACCCATCCACAAATATAGCCATCCCGTCTCATATATGATAACCTGCTGGCACAGTGACGAACATAGCATCCGCATGGGGATGACCAAACTCCACGAGAGATAGGTGGCGCTTTCGCTTTGGCTCAATTTACTAAGTTATACGAAGGGGGCGCTGCATGCAGTTTGGGGAATGGCACACGTCTTCATCACGTGTGTGTGCGTGCGTGCGTGCGTGCGTGCGTGCGTGCGTGCGTGCTTGTGTGCGTGGGTGCGCGCGTGTGTGTGTGTGTGTGTGCGTGCGTGCGTGCGTGCATGCGTGTGGGTGTGTGTGTGTGTGTGTGTGTCTGTATGTGCGTCTGTGTGTGGACGTTCGTGTGTATGTGTGTGTGTGTGTGTGTGCGTGTGTGCGTGCGTGCGTGCGTGCGTGTGTGTGTGTGAGTGCGTGCGTGCGTGCGTGTGTGTGTAGATATGACGCGTACGTATATTATGTGTGTACGTTACAGGCGGCTGGAGAAATCGCAGCATGTCACGGTCGCCGTCACCCCGCCGAGCCGACATGTTCTCCAAGGCCGTGCTAGGTCTGTGCGACACCGCACGAGACATGGCGGCTGAAGAGCGCATGCACAAGTTCAGAGGTAAATATATAAACTAGCGGGCGCGCTAGCTTCCAATCGGTCGTCATCCGTGCACACCGCTAGTGTATAATGTCGTGCATATAAGAGACTCCTATATACCCTTGATTATATCAATAACACATTGGCCCCACAATCTTTTTACGATGATCTATGATTCTTCCGAATTTAAGTATTTAACTGAAAATGGTAGTTAGAGAATTGATAGTTGGAGGCAAAAGTTTGCGCACCATTCCCGTATAGTCGGGTTTTACACCAAAGCTCCAATGTTACACGGCATTGAACCATATTTTCGCGCGTAACAAACGTGGAAGGAACATGAAAACACTAGCAAATGCGCCTGACAATAAACCGCTAACACATATAAACTCGCTCACACACGCACGCATACACGCACGCACGCACACGTGCGAGCGCCCGCACACACATGCGCACACATACACCCGTGTACACATACGCGCGTGCGCGTACGCACTCACATATACAGACACAGAGAGAAAGATTGATGTAGACAGAGACACGGAAGGAGTGAAAGAAAGAGAGAGAGAGAGATGGTGTGCGTGCGTGCGTGCGTGCGTGCGTGCGTGCGTGCGTGCGTACGTGCGTACGTGCGTGCGTGTGTGTGTATGTGTGCGTGTGTGCGTGTGTGCGTGTGTGCGTGTATGCGTGTGCGCGATGCGTGAACGAAATAGTTCTTGATCACTGTTTACGTTCGATTGTTTGAATAACATATAACGTCAGCAGACGTTAATCTTTTATGCTCACCTGGGCACTTCAGTAGAAGTTGGTCAAGTGAGTTCAAGGGTGATATCAAGGTTAAATGTCCACACTCCATACTTGCCTCTTTTCTCACACGTCTCCGCTGATTCCCGGTGCAGGTAAGAAGAAAGACGAAGAAGCGCTGACACACACATCGCCCGAGCATAGGAGCAGAAGTCGCAGCCGCCGCGTGCCGCTGCACGGCCATGCCCAGCCGTTCGCGTCGCCGGCGCCGTCGCCGACGCCGCAGCTACGCTACCGGACGACGTCGCTCGAGCTGCGCTCACGCAGTCCCAGTCCCGTGCTGACGCCGCTGTCGAACGAGTACTACGGCACGACGCAGCTCGACCTGCGCTCCCGCAGTCCCAGCCCCGCCGCACCGCCGCCACGGGCGCGCTCCATGGGCCGCCGCCTGCCCGCCACCCCTAGCAAGCCTTCCACGCTCAATCTGCAGATCAAACACGGAGAACTGCCGTTGAAGTTGCCCACCGTCGCTCAGTCGCCTACCGTGCCTGCACCAACCAAATCACCCGGCAGCATCAACTTCCCGAAGCTGGAGGCGTCGCCGACGCACGCGGCCAAGCGCGCGATGCCGCCACAGGCCCACGGCATGTCGCCCTCTTCGCGCATGCGCGTACGCGACGCCGCAGCGAAGCCTCAGAGCGGAGCTGGTCACCGCCACGCGCGAGATAACGCGCACGGCGACAAGCGACCCAACGGCATGAAACCGGGGACGGTGAGCAGGGGTGAGCGTGGGGGGCGCCGGTCGCC